TGAAAGATTTTCACACTTTATCCAAACTGACTTCTCAGTAGCACATAATCAAATCTAAGAGAAGTTAGTCATATCAGCAACTACCATGGGTGTTTGTTTGCATACTAGGATAGATACACAAACTCTCACTGGCACTACATCTACTAATTTAATACTGTGGTCTCAAATATTCACCTAGCCAAAAAAAAAAAACCCAAAATGCTACGCAGCTATTTTTCCCACAAAAGCTTATAGTCTTTTATAATTGAATTTAATATTAGAAAAGTATTTTCATGCACAGGTACACAGTTTCAGAAATAAGAGTTTTATAAATTAAAACATCTGACAGAGATCAGTCTTTCTGGGTCAGCCAATTTCCTGCTCACTTCAGTTTTACATTGACTGTGTTTATTGTGTCAGTAATCAAAAAGCCAAGCAAGAGGCACAAAGTAATAATTTCTTTCCTCAGGTCTGATGCAAGCCTCAGAGTACACGCTACAAGCCTCAAGGCACACATTTTTATGTAGGTTTGGGAATTAAATGCTAATGTCTACACATGGGCAAACCCTCCTGCAATCCACAAGTTCATATCCGTAACCATGGAATAACCAGGGTTGGAAGGGGACTCCAGTGGTCAACACCTCCAACTCGCAGGTCAAAGCAAGTCTAATTACAGCAGGCTGCTGACAGACATATCTCATCTAGTCTTGACCTCCTCCAAGGATGGAAGTTGCACAACTTCTCTGTTACAGCTGAACCCAGGACACAACCTCTTCCACTATTTTACCACTCTCACAGAAGACTTATTTTCCCTGTAAGTAATTAAAATTTTCCATTCTTCCAAATTAGACCTGTTGCTTCTTATGCTATTGCTACACACTTCCAAAAATCTGGCTCCAGACAGCTAGCTGAGCCTTCTCTTCCTAAGGTTGAATAAACTCAGGTCCCCTCAGTCCCACCTTTTGCTTGGGATCCCTACTGGAGTCACAGATTCACATGTCTATGTCAGCATCTTTCTGGTGATCTCAAAACTGGGCATGATACACAAGATGCAGTCTCACAAATGCTGAGTAAGTGAGAGAGATCACTTCCTCATGGATAAATTCATGAAATTCAGTTCTTTGGGATAAATTGTTATTTCTTTTTACCAGAAATGTCTGCATTTTAATTTTGTATGCAGATGTGGGGAAAAAAAAAAAAAAAACGCAAAACCAAAACAATTCTGTCCTCAACGTTATTTAACATCTTTATCTCATCCCAAACTTTACCTGAAACAAGGGCTTATTCACACCACTATCATTAATTCACTATAACAAGAAAAGCTTCCAATCCTTGTTGCCCTCATCATTATAATTATGCTTTCCTGAAGAAACTATAGTAACCTTAATTCCAGCAAAAGCATCTATAAAATCAAGATGAAGCTATCACGCCCATGCATCCTGATGTATCTCATCAGATGAGCCTACAAACAGTAGGATTGCGCTCTCTCTAAACACCCAAACACAAATCACAGGACCACACAAGCTGGTTTTAGTATGTACACACTAAAAAAAAAAAAACTGAAAAAATTTGAAAATCTATGCTGCCTGTTTTAATAGCTGTAAGAATTGAAGATTTGTGACAGTTTTAAAGGAATGCAAATCCCACGGTCCTCCCACTCTCTTCAACCAAACTATTCGTTGTCTTCCTGAGGAAGTAGTATTAGACATTTACAAAAGGCAAAGACGCAATAAGCTATCTGGAGATTGCTACAGTATGGCATTTGTAGACTTCCTAGAAACACGAAGGAAACTAAAATTTGTTATCTGGCTGGGAAATACCACACACAACAGAAATTAAGAACTTGATATCTAAAACCTATATTCCAATTTAATTTTTTTTTCAGTTTGATATGATTTCTTCTTCAACTTCCAGAGGCATAACAAAACCATTCTAAGTTGAGAAGCTCAATTAAAAAGCCCCAAAAAATAATATTACTAAAAATATATTCACAATAATAGGCAGATTCCAATAAGTTATTATAGAAAATAAGGACACCTTGTCCCATTAAAGATGCCCCAATCTCCATAGTTTTAGCAAGAATTTTTTTTCAGATGCAATATTAGAAAACCATTAGCCATTTGCTTCAGAGCAAAGCACTGCAACAGTGAAATACATTCCAGTTTAAAATTGCATTGCAGAAAGAAAAAGCAATTTTCCTTGCACTCTTTATTATTCCCACAAGTGTCAAGATAGATCCTGAATACTGTTTTTCTACTGAACTCTCAAACTCTCTCTCAACACTCTCTCCAACAGACCAGAAAGGCATACAAAATAGAATCACGCAGAACCTGAAGAGGTAACTTCACTGTTCTTCTACGTAGACTTGCTTGCTTTCTCCTGGCTGTGCTTATTTCCCCATGACAATACCCTTTGAGATGTCATGCTTTCATCCTACATAGTGCACTATTACACAAAATATTAAATCAGTTTTGAACCCATACATAGATTACTGCTCATGCTGGAATAACAATGAAGAGCTCATGCTATGTTAAATACCAGTCCCTGTAGAGGGATTTGTAATGAAAGCCTGAAGTCTGTCATAAGAACAATTTAGGGAAAAAAAAAAAAAAAGAAAAAAAAAAAAAGAAAAAATCAAAACACAAACCCAGCTACCCTTCCCCCCAAAACCACAAAACTTACTCAGCTAACCACAGCAGGGATATCCTAGGTAGGGGCAGACTCCTTTTCACACAGTTAAAAATTCCTCCACTACCAAGCCCTACCAGAGGGCACAGTGATGTAATACCCTGTCTCTAAGCTATCCTCTCACAAGCTCCAGGCTTTTCCAGATAAATTGCCAGTGCAACACTTCTTTATACCAATGTTTTTTCTTTTCCCTCCTCTTCCCATCAATATATTTATTTTATCTAGATCTCTTCTTGCCTCCTACTTCCCTCAAGGACTTTCTTTTAAAAGCACCTTTTCCCCTCCTCACCTTTACTTTTCTCTTTTATTCTCCGAAGTAGGAAAAGCTCCCTCCTTTTTGGTACTTGATTACTTCACTTGCAGATTCTCAAGCACTGTATGTGGTACATACATACACAGACAAATATATTCAACACATGGTAAGCATTAACATTTTTTCCTTCTGTGCAAAGGAGCAACAACCAAAATTCTAAAGCCAAAAGGCCAATCCAAGTGGCCAAATCCGTGATACACCAGCAACTATATCTTTGCTAGCAAATACACCTAAACACTCTCTTCTTCCAGTCACGTTCTAATGTTTAGAACCTTATTTTGAAAGCTAGCAAGCTGGCCCACATAAAATTATAGTGAAACAAATGCAAGACTCCTAATTATAAACTTCTGCTTGACCAGCAAGATACAGAAAGATACAAAAATAAAAAAATACAAAGCCAGAAAGATATAAAAATTTCTTACACTCTTCGTGCATCCTCTGCCAATGCTGCTACACTTTTGAGAAGTGGTTCTAAGAAATCTTAGCAAAAAGCCAATGAACCTTTTCCCACTTTAGAAATAGTTACCTCAAACACCTCAGGCTTTCAACACATATTTGGGCATAGTATTACTCACAAGCTACTGACTGACTAGAATGTCTCATAAAACATCAAGATTTTTAAGCTTCCTCAGTTTGACACAGATGGCTTTGCTATTCATGTGCTGCATCTCCCATGTTCTCCAGATACAGCTGAAAAATCCTTGAGGAAGAACTTCCCTACCCCAACTTCTCTGTTCTTCAGAAGCAGAAAAGCACAATGGTAATCAGACCTCCTTCTTTAAAAGCACTACGGGGGACAGGGAAGAAGCACCACTTGCAGAAGAATGCTCACCATCACCATGCCTGGTCTTAGTGCAAAGATTTACGCTTATGGTTTTATAGTCAGCAATGCTTGGTGTTTGCAAGGCCAGACTACCAGTGCTATAGCTCCACAAACCAGTACAAGGTGACACTGCTGCCAAAGTACTGCACCATCTTCCTCCATCTGTTCACTCCCAACACTGTGCTATTACTTCCCAAATGCCAGGGCAAGACTATGAACATCCATCCAGTGAAAGAAATGAGGTAAGTGTCCTGGTGGGTCCAGGAGGAAGTTTAGTTTTACCCTGCATCAGTTCTCAATGTGGTTCACACAGTGACTGCAAAAACCTACACTGGAAAAACATGGAGCAACAGGACAGATGACATGGAGGAAGGCTCTTCTCAAGCAGCTTTAGGTGTCCAAGGAAACACAACTTATTCCATACAGTTAGGCTTGCCTCAATGACAGCCATTATGTTCCTTACACTGTAACAAAAAATTTTGGTGTTTTGCAGAGAAACAAACATAAGTCTGAAAGCACAGATAGACACTCGCATCACAAGGTGACAATACAGCTAGATGGGAAGTGCTACATCAACCTTTAACTATGCTGTACAGGAAGCCCCTAACAAGGCTACTTGTACCCCTGTGCATCACACCTGTAACAATAAAGCAATAATGAAGGACTGCTAAAACCTTTTATTTGAAAGCACAGACCTATTATGTTGTAGTGAGCTTTAAGTTTAAAGCTCTGCTGCTAAACAACAAAACCGAAAGCCTTGTGGTAAACACACAAGAGTGACTCGAGGGCCAGCCTGGCGAACAAACACCCTCCGCGGCACGCTCGTGACCAAGGCGCTACCCGCCGCCCTCTCACCCCACCGCAGGGCCGCAGGGCACAAGCCCGATCCCACCGGCCAGCAAAGCTGTACCGAACATTCCAACAGCGGCGGCTCAGTGGCTTCCCGAAGCCCGCCTGCAGCCGCGGCGAGTGGGGGCAGCCGCAAGCTCCCGTAGCTCCCCGGCGCGCCGGGGACACTGCCGGCTCCCACAGGCAGCAAGGGGGCAGCGCCTGGAAGAAAGCGCCGAGGACAGCCCGCGGCCGCACCGCAGCCGGCCCCACAAGTTCTTCCCGCCACCGAAGTCCCCGAGGAAACCACACACCCTCCCAGGTGCCGGCCCCACCCGTGAGGCGGAGGGCGCCCGTGCGCACGCATACCTGTGTGTCGGGCGCGGGAAGACCGCGCACGTAGCCGTTTGGGAGCGTGCCGTGGCCTGCGCCGCTGCAGCCGTTAGCGCGGGGCTGTGCACCCGCCACCACCGCAGCCCGCCCGGGCCGCTCCATCCCGCCGGCTCTGCTGCGCCCGCTCCGCCACCCCCGCCCTGCCGCGCCGCGCCGCGCCGCACCGCACCGGAAGCGCGAGCTGCCGCTTGCCCCAATCACCATCAGGTACGTCACGCTCGGGGATGGGCTCTGTAACGACGCATCGGCGCGCGTGCGAGGCTGGCGGCGGACGCCAGGGACAGAGGGCGTGGCCCAGAGGACGGAGCCCAATGAGAGACTCGCATGCCAATCAGGTGGGAGGGGAGTGGGGTGAAGGAAGGGGTTTGCCCAATTGCAAAGCGGAAAGTTTGGAGGAAGGTGAAGTCAGAAGGTGAACGTTGTCCAATCGCTTGGCAGAGATGGAACCGGGAACGAAGAACCGGAGATAAGATAGCCAATCACAGAGCCAGGGTAACGGAGGGGCAGGAGCGGGCAGCGGGCTCCGTCCAATGACCGGAGGGAGGGGCAAGGTGATGGCTGAGGTAGCAGCCAATGGGAGGGGGCCAAAGTGGGCTTGCGGAGCTAGGGCGTGGTTGGGGTGGTTGCGTGTGAGGGGAATCAACGGCCGGGCTGAGGGCTGTCTGGTTGTGGTGGCTCCGGCTGGGGCAGTGCCGGTGCGGGGCGCCGAGCGTGTGAGGGAGGGTCCTGGTGCGCCCGTAAGCGCTTTCTCTGGTGCGGCGTGGGCAGCGGCGCGGGCTGGTGCCGTTTCTGTGACTGGAGGCGGCCTTTTCTTTAGGACACCCCAGTCGCTGGAGCAAGGAGAGGACCAGGGTGGGGTGAGGTAGCAGGTGAGCCTCTCTGCTGCCCTCCCTGTGTAGAGTCGAGGGAGCTGATGACTGAAGTAGTTCTTTTCAAGGCTGTAGGGGTTGCTCCAGGACACACAGGCTTCGGGCTGTGTCATGATGGGCTGTGTGAACGCTGAAGTAACTAACCCACCGCAAGTTGGCAGGAGAACCTCTGAGTGAAACCCTGAATGGTGGGTTAGGAGGTCAGACCGAATTATTGCAAAGCCCTTTGTGCCTAGGATCGACATGGGAGAGGTGTGTCTTGGCTCAAGTACGCCTGGGTACTGAAGGACCTAATAGGAAATGCTCTAGACAAGCTCCAGGCAGAACTTGAGTCAATAGGATTTAAAGTCCTGCTTAAAGATTGGTGCATGCTTGGCTGCCTTGCTGAGCCACTATCCCTGACAACTGAAGCTGCCAGTCTGTTAACTCTGCCCATGGCTGTGTTTAAAAATCATATTTGGCCATGAATTTGAGTATGGTTTGGAAATACATACTTCATTCAAAGACTGGGTGAACTAAGCACTGTGTTTAGTTCAGGGGCAGATGTTACCAACATTAATAAAGTTTAAGTTTCCAGATGTCACACAGACAACATGAGAGGAAGGGTGCTCTGCAAACCACAAAGCATCTGGATGTGTGTGCTATTGTACAACTTGTATACATCTTGGTGAGGGATTGGGAAAAGGAACACATCTAGAGGTTTTTGAGTTGCAGGAGTGTTAACTGGTAGAAGGAAACAACCAAATGTGTTTAATCACATACTGAAGAGATGGAGGAGTATGACCTTTGTTTTCTCCAGTGCGATTGAGAGAGAAGGGCTGTGCTGTTTCTTAGAATGTAACTTGAAACAATAAAAACAAAGCTCATTTAACACAAGGGAAGTTAACAGGTCTAAGCAGGTGAATGTAAGAAAATGGTCTCTTCTGATTTGCTACTATTGATAATTATTTTTCTGTATTACAGTCACATTTTGGAGCTTCAGTCACAGATCTCATTGCAAATTTGATACGAACATGGAGTTCCTAACAAAAGTGGATTAGTTTCTGTGAAAGGCATTTTTATTCTCTCCAGAAGTCTTGGGAGAGCTTCATAGCCTGATTTTAGCGTATTTGTAGGCAGCAGTATGTGTCCAGTACGCTCCATATCTCTGGGTCACCTTTGGACAAGAGGGTTTTTGTAATGAGGGGTACAAACATTGGCTCAGGGGTAACAAGCACAGGCTGGGTGTGAGACTTTGTTCCTTTCTTGCTGTCTATGGCCGCTCCCTTTTCTTGACTGCCACTAAAGCAGGTGTGGACTTGCCTAAGAAGCATTCTTTCTTCACCTGGTTTCGGTACGCAGTGAGACAGAGCCATCAGCTAAGATGGGATGGGCTGCGTCCCCTCTCTCATGTTGCAGGATGGGGACTATGGAAGAGACGGGTGTTGCTAGGAAGGACCTAGTAGTCAAAGCTGCGAATACCCCTGTTTAGCATTTGGGTGCTTGTGCAAGTGGACTTGATTGAGTACAGTTAGGAGTGCTGGTGGAGAAGAGACAGGTGCTGTTGAGCTTTTTCTACATAAGGAGGGGAGGGCTTTTGCAGAATCTATGAGGAATGAACAAATGTTATCATGAAAAAAGGAAATGAGTGAGCAAATGAGTGAGAAATGTACTAGGGGACCACATACCGCAGTACCTTTTTTGTAGGATTTTTTTTAACCATAGTTGGCTGTTGGCATTTTCCTCCCATCTCCTCTCCATCTGAATGGACTGGATTGAATTATACAGACCAGTTTTGCCATGGTGTGCAGATGGTCCACCAGCCTACACTCACAGGGCATGTATGAGGCATCACCCTCCACTCCCTGCCCACCTGCATGCAGAGAAGTTTCCTCTGCTAATGCCTTCTAGAGAGGATAAGCTGCTTCACTTGCCAGGCAGTGGATCTCACTGCTGTGTTACCTGTTTAGAGTCCAAACCCTGCAGACTGGTTACTTCATCTGTCCTTAAACCCAACTAGCACAAACACTTACAGTGCAATGGTTTTAGTACTAGTTTAGTAAATGGGAAGAAAAAAACATTAAGGGACCCCCTGGTTAACTTGTGCAGGACCGGGCAGTCTCACACCATGGCTGCAGTGCTCCCCTACACATGGGACCTCATTGTGTTGCCAGGACCCACCCTGGCCTTAGTGTGGGACCTCGTGTTTGAGGGGCATCAGGCCCCTTCTAGTGCAGCACAGGGGCAGGGAAGGCCATACTCACCCTGGGGCTGCAGTAACAGAAGACTCTGGGATATCCATGGAGACAAGTCTGGCATGGAGGTGCCATCCCAGGACACAGCTGCTGCCACAGGCCACACCAAGCACACGTCACAGAGCTCCTGAAGTTGCACCCGCTGGCAGCTCTGATATGGATGGCTCTGTGTGACACACGAGACACCCATGTACACAGGAGGCTGCAGCTTCTGCCTCTGGACTATGCAGTTGCAAAACAAGAGCAAAACAAACTCAAAACAGCATCATTCCGGATTGAAGTTTCCTTCTAGGTTCCATGTATACTATTCCTGTGAGCTGGCAGAGCAAATTGCCTTACTCAGTCAACTGAGTTAAGCAAAGGACTGGGTAAGAAAATATATATAATGAGTCAAAAGGAAGAGTGGACCATAAGTAACAAGTCAAACAGGCAGGGATTGCTGCACAGCAGGCTCGTATCAACAGAGAGCTTACGTCATCGACATGAGTCAGTGGGTACTATTACCATTCATAGGTCTGGGGATCACAGAGTAGAGTTGTGAAGTTTGCAGACAGCAGAAGGGCAAATTCAGGAAGGGTTTATTGCATAACCACTGGGGCAGAGAAGTGTAGCAGAAAAAAATTCTGCTCCAGTATCCCAAACAGAGAGAACAAGGGCCTTCTTCACTGATAAAAGATAATCAGAACTCATCACTGAGATGTGGCCGAGGGGAAGAATTTCCTTCAAGAAAGGAGAGCGTAGGCAACTGAGACAAAATTGAGTATGTGAATGATGCCAGCTACCCAGAGATTCTTGATGGAAAGTCTCAAGATGGCTGTAGTCAGAAATAAACCCAAGCCTTTGACTTTTATATTTGCAATGCAGAGACAGAATAAGCAGTGGCCCCTCTGTTGCATTCAAGGCAGTTAATAGCAGGCATGCTGCTCTGAGAGGAGCAGTCTATGTTCTTCTGGTGCCTTTCTTCACCTTCAGTCTCCAGGTGCAGGCTGAAGTGCTGAAAGTGTAATTGAAAAAGCTACAGTTTGGACAGTCCAATGCAGTGCTGTCAGGTGAGCGTTGTTTCTGTTCCCTGTTTAACAGTTACAGCAACCTAGCACTGAAAGTGCAAGGAGTATGCTGGGAAATTACTCCAGGGGAGCAGTGAACCTTGGTTTATAGCTTAGGACTGAATGGCAGAATGCCTGCCTGAAGCATAGAAAAATTAGCAGGAGTGTGGAAAGCTCTTTGGAGACGTCACAGCTGTTGAAGAAAGCAGCTAGCTAGCTGGGTGTCCCATGAGAATTTGTCAAGCTGCTAGCAAAACTTCATGGAAAGCTGGAGAGGCCTTGGCATGGCTCATGAGAGGGAGCAATGTTTGGAAGGTTGGTTAGTTTGGTGTAGAAATGCCCATCATTTGTCCTCAGCAGATCTTGATAAGTATGTAAGCCATGAATGCCTACAGCAGATTGCTTCCTTCTGGAAAAGGCAAGGGGAGGCAGGTACATATTTCTAAATAATGGAGTTGGTTGGCTTAAATTTAGCTAAACTTGAGAATTGTGTTTCTGCTCCAGGAGAGACCCTCCCTGTCCTTAACACTTCCCGCTGTGAATACTACAGTTCTAGGCTCACCACAGCTTCTTTTTCACTGGCTTGGAGAATAATATTGTTCTGGAAATAACTTAACCTCTAAAACTGTACAATGCTAATAAGACTGTTCAGACTATTTTCCCCTCTTTTTTTGCAATGAAGCCTTGACTGAACCTATTTCTGGGCACTGATTTGGACCAGAATCTGTAAATATGACAAACTTCGCTGTTCAGTGCGTTTGCCTGGAGAAACCAGCCAGGCTTGCATAACGTTTTTGTGGTGAAGCGTGAAAGAGGTCAGGACACAAAAGGCCTGAGAGGATATGCTATCGGCTGAAAGATGCATGTGAATAGGGGTCTGATGAGCCACAAGAAAAGAGAGATGTAAGAGGGGCTGGGATGATACGTGTAGGATCAGGGGTTTGGCCAGCAGAACAGAGCATGGGAGGAAGTCCTGTGTGATGG